CTAATTAAATATGGGCTCTTGTATTTATATAGTGTGGGCTATTGCTTATTTAGAATGGGCTAGGCTTGCAAGGAAAGTCCATGGATAGTCCATGGAGCTTTAACCCATGGATCTCATGGAAATGAAAAGACATGGGTATTAGGGTTTACACGGATGTAACCCTAATCCATCACACTATATAAAGGAGTCCTTGGCACTTGAAATGGAACTAGTTTTATGTGTGAGAACAAGAGGGCCGATTTCAAGAAGAGTGTGACTATTCTCTCAAGTTTCCAAGTTTGTGGTGATTTGTGACTTCCATTTGAGGCATCCACATTATTGGTGCTAGGCTTTCAAACTCCAAGCAATCAACCACTACTAAAAGGTAAGTAACTCTACTAGCTTTATTTGATTCAAGTACCCCATGCCATGCTAGTTAGGTTAAGAACCTTGGAAGAATCAATTTTGCATGTATCTTAGTAAAACATAGATCCAAGGTTTCTAGGGTTGCATGTACACCTTAGGAGTGTTAAAATGCTCAAAACCCATCAGTTTAAATCATTTAAAACATGTATAAAATTATTCATCCAGCATAGACAACAAGTATACAGAAAATATGCACACATAGCATGTAATTTATATAAAATACATCATATCTATGTGTAAGATGAAAGTAACTGTGCACTCACTTGATAAGGTGGTGACTCTGTACTCGGAAAACGCTTCGTTTACTTAAAACAATTTCCTTCGACAAAACCTAGTATCATTAGCACTAGAGTTTAGTCTAACATTCACCGAGACTAATTAATAGTCTTGCTATTGTTACTATTATATAATCATTAAAACGATACTCTTCACCCACTATGTACAGACAGGGGCCAGACATGACACACAGGAGGGTAGGACCTTTTTGGCATATAGCACTTCTGAAATCCAATAACCCAAGCGGCCCTTCAAACCAGATTCCCCATACCGCGAGTGGTTAAAAAGATATTATAACGACACTTATATAAACCATAATAATAGCCCAAATTATTATTATAAGGTCCTAATAACGTTACTATATTTAAATAAAATATATATTTAAAATAATGTAGGCGTAGCTCACTTACAGCGGGTTTTTATTAAAAACCAGGCTTCCCTGGAGCGGCGTTTCCGAGCCGAAAAGCTCTTTTTCTCGGAGCCTTCGGGAGCTTCGGGGGTTCCTTAGGCTTTGGGGGGTTAGGAGGTTAGAGAGAGAGTGTAGAGAGAGAAAGATAAGTTGGAAATGGTGTTAAATTGGAGCTGCCTTCGCTTCCCTCTTATAGCAGGCCGAAGCCTCGGTACGCAGGGCGCTCCTGCGAGGTACGTAGGGCGTAGGCTTGCGACACGGTGCGTTCGTACGATATGTGTCCGAAGATGGCTGGGGCGATGTGGCCGATCCGAGACCGAGCCCTCCTACGCAGCGCGTTCCTTCCCTCTACGCATGGCGTTCCTTGGCCAGATTTGCATTTTGCCATCCCGACTTCAAAAATTCATAACTTTCGCATACGAGCTCCGTTTTCGACGTTCTTTATATCCACGCGTAGGCGGGACCGTACTATACAACTTTCGTTTAGACTTTGTCGGCTAATTTTGAATTTATTTTTAAAGTTATATTTTTAACAGGCCGGGAAAGGAATAGTTCGTTAAAAATTCATAACTTCTTCATCCAACGGCTGTTTTCGTCTGTCTTTTTACCGTTACGCTACTATTAACGAGATCTTCGATTCTCGTTCAGGTTGTGTCGACTGAAAATCGCTCGATCTAATATTCGAACTCCGGGCTGCACACTGCTAAGCCGAAACTTAGAAAAATCATAACTTCCTCATACGAAGTCAGATTTGGGCGTTCTTTTTATGCACACTCTACGTTTAACATATTCTATGACTTTCTTTTAAATCTCTAAGGCTAAGAATCACTCTATCGCAAATTCACTATTTACGTCGCGCAGTGTCGTGCGGGTTTTCTCGCGAAACTTAGATAGGCCATAACTTCTTCGTTATAACTCGGATTTCGGCGTTCTTTATATGTATGGAATCCTTGTGACATCTGCTACAACTTTTATTAAGATTATCTATTTTAAATTATCTTCTATCAAGCAGTCGTTTTTGACACTTATTGTCTCTATAATGACTAGCCCCGATCTACGGGAGTTACAATTATCTCCCCCTTAAGATGATTACGTCCTAGAATCATCAACGAAACAGGGTTGTATAATGATTCCATATGTTATCTCTTCATCCTAGGTAATAACCGTAACTTCTATGTTCCTGTGAATGAGTATCTAATTCTTGGACTTCTTGACCGTAGGCGGTGCTTAATCTTGCGTCCTCTCTTCATACTATGTTGGACTTTCAATTGTAACCTTCGAGTTACAATCTTGATCCTTATTGGAAACTCATTATCCTTCGTAAACAGACTTTACTTTGATTATCGTAACAGACTGATGGGTCATGTTCTAATGACCTCTCGTCGTATGATGCAACGCTTAGACTCAGGTCTTTTAGAGTCAAATTCCGGAATGTAATATACTTTCCTTCATGTTCTAATGTGATATAATCACATTTTAGCATGTAGCATTTCTAGCTACCAGCTTCTTTAACAACGAGCGTGACATACTCGTCTTAGTCAGACTCCACTTGATATGACTACTAGGTTCGAAATAACAATCATCTTCTTATTCATTACTGAAACGATGGTAACGACATACTCGAATAAAACGGTATCAATTACTAGCTTCTTGGTAACCTTGTGACTTTCCTTGATCCAAGTGCGAGTCCTGTGCTTCCGGTAGTATAGGCCTCTACTACCATTCACACCTACTCATACTCTTGCTAAGTATTGTCTCGCAGTTTTCCAAGTCACCATACAAGGAAATCACATAACAGCTTAACACATAAGATAGCAAAACGAAGGTTTTATATTATTTCTTGAAACGATTACATAGGTGTTCAAGTTCACCCTATACTATGCCTCTAATAGGCTACACCACGTGGTACTACCTACATGGCTACTCTGTATCTTGATCTTGGAATATAAAATCCTTATTCCTGATTCCTTGCATTGTTATCTGCTTCGTCAAGGATCATTTGAAATGCTCTTGCCTTTGGCTTTGGCGGCACATTTGGCTTTGTAGCCCCTTCCATCTTTGGGAAGTCTTACTTGAAGTTCCCTTCCTCTTTACATTCTTAGCACACCTTTTGTTGAATGTATACTCGTTGGCATAATGCCCATGCTTTCCACACTTGAAACAAGTCACCTCCTTACCGCATTTTCCAGAGTATTTCTTTTTGCACTTCTCGCACCATCTTGCTTCACTTCCTCCTCCTCCAAACTTCCTCGAACTTGACTTGCTCTTCTTATTAGGCCTTGCCAACCCTTCAAATTTCCTCTTTTCGCCAACCTCAATCTTGCTGGCGGGTCTTCCCTTGATCATCTCCTTAACAGACTTGGCAGCGCAGATAGCTTCCTCCAAAGTAGGCGCCTGACGTACTGGCACCGCATACTCCCATGGAAGTCCCTTGGTGTACTTGTCAATTTTCGTCAGCTCATCTGGGACAAGACGCAAGGCAAACTCCATCTTCTCTATGAAGTTGTTGGTGTATTCACCAATGGACATGCTTCCTTTCTTTAGAGTCAGGAATTGGTTCTCTAGCTCAAGCAGGTTTTGGGCTGAGCAGTACTTGCGCTTGAATATCACCAAAAACCGATGAGAATAAATCTCAGATCGATTAGATCTTTCACAGGTAAAAGATAAAGATCAAACAAAACAAACACAATAACAGAATCAACAATATGCTTATGATTCAAATATAGTCACGCCTCAGCAGAGCTCTATGAAGAACTTCCACTGTAGAGGCGAGCTAGGGTTTACAATCCTCAAAAAGAATAAAAATTAAAGCGTGTTTACAAAGACTGCATGCATGCAGCTTAAATACTAAACCCTAGAGAAAACATGCACGGTTGGACAGGCCCAAACCGGAAATCAAAATTGGGCTAAGGACCGAGCCCATGACGCAACACTATAAGCCCAACAATCTCCCCCTTTACGTCGAATGAGGCGAGAGATCAATTTCTTTGAGTAGGCTTCACAGTCTTGAGAACCTTGAACAGCCGAGGGATGACTGCAAGAAGTTTTTGCCGAAACTGAATGTACCATCGTAGCATGTCAGTAAACAGCTTCTTATCGGCTGTAGAATTCTGATTGCACTTGTGGATAATCTCCAAGATATGCTCCAAGCAAGCAGTTGAGAATAAGTGCTTATCACACAGAGCGAAGATACATTTTTGCTTTTCGCCTCTGACAAACATTACTGTGTGAGACTGTGGGTCGATTCTACCCTTGACCATAACATTCACATCGCCCATTCTGCCGGAAGGTTTGATCGTTAGACGCTTGTGAATGGCAGCGGCGATCTCTTGGTCCATTTTCGCCACTTCGTGAATGTAGCATACAAGCACTCGCTTGATATGGTCAATGATCGGCTAGTACTCCTGTGGATTTGACATCAGGATGTTGTTGAGAAGTATCCAGTCGTGGGGATTGAGGTTCGGTAGATCAGCAAGGGTGAAGTTATGAACCGAGCCTTCAGAGCCTCGAGTCACTTTGAATTTCACATTGACAAACTTCCCTGCTGAGTAAGGCTTCAGAACCTTGACAGTAGTAATCTTCTGTAAGCTCCATGTCTGGTGCTGTGGCTGAGCAAACTCCAGATAGAACTCCAAAAGATCCCGATCAACCTTCGGGTCTGGAGAGGGAATAGAAACAGTTGAGTTAAAGCAGTGAAAGATGAATGCTTTTCGCGTGATCGGCATGTCAAACTGTGCATCCTTGGAGTTTTCAAGCCCAAACGACATCACAGGCTCAAGCCACATTGTACAAGGTTCATCGATAGCACACTTTTGAAGCGAATCAAGAGTCCACACTGGAAAAATGGACTTCTTCTTTTCCAGGAGCTCTTTTTCTTTAAGCTCTTTTTCAAGCTCTATCGATTCCTTCATCAGTTTTTCTTCAAGTTCCTTATCAGATGCCTTTGTTTTCTGAAAAGGATTAGAGGGATCTGGTTTAAAAATATCTTCAATATCATCATCAGTATCATCATCTTCACCAATTTTCTTCTTCTTCTTCTTGCATCTATCACTGACCGAAGCTTCATTAACCTTCTTCTTCTCTCCCCCTTGTTTCGGTTGGACACCAGGCACTGGAATTTCGGGGGTAGGAGAGCGAGGCGGGGTATTACCACGACCCGAAGCCTCCTCGTCAGAGCTTTCGCTTTCAGATTCTGAAGGAGGAGCAGATGTGTGTTTGGGAGGGACATACTCTGAGTCTGAATCACTTGAAGATTGGAGTATGAGTCTCCGAGCGGGCTTTTTCTGCTTCTTGGGTTCAGGCTGGGACAGAGCAGCCTTGTCTGACCTTCGCTTCGTAGGGGTTTGCCCCTTGGTTGTTTTAGCAACCTTTGTCTCCTTCTGAGTCGCAGCTTTCTTTCCCCTCTTGGCTGGCTTGTCAGCTTCTTCAATGGATCGAACCATGGCTAGGGTTAGTTCCCGTGGACCCGAAGAAGGAAACTCCCTGTATTGTTGCAGAAGTTTATCGGGCCTTGCCGACCCTTCAAATTTCCTCTTTTCGCCAACCTTAATCTTGTTGGTGGCTCTTCCCATGATCATCTCCTCAACAGACTTGGCAACCCAGATAGTTGCCTCCAAAGTAGGTGTCTGACGTACTGGCACCGCATACTCCCATGGAAGTCCCTTGGCATACTTGTCGATTTTCGTCAGCTCATCTGGGACAAGACGCAAGGCAAAATCCATCTTCTCTGTGAAGTTGTTGGTGTATTCATCAATGGACATGCTTCCTTTCTTCAGAGTCAGGAACTGGTTCTCTAGCTCGAGTAGGTTTTGGGCTGAGTAGTACTTGCGCTTGAATTGCACCAAAAACTCTGCCCACGTTAGGTGCACGGGGTCATTGGGGCTTAGAGTCTTCCCCAGGGTGTTCGACCAGCGAACAACGCCTCCTCGGAACTGACGCACAACAAATGTGGTTTGTAACTTGCCTATGCAACCACACGTCATGAAGGCCAACTCCATCTCTGAGATCCAATCCATAACTCCGATCGGATCTTCCTTTCCAGTGAAAGTCGATGGTTTGCAAGTTAGAAAATATTTGTACTTACATTTGTTCCTATCATCTTCGTCATCTTGGTTGTTTCGTCGAACAATTGGTGGGTTGGCTCGACCAACTGTCCCACTGTAGTTCCCTCCTTCTGACTCCCCATCATTCTGTTCGGTCTATTCGATCGGTATTGTAGCTTCCTCTCGATTCTGTTGAAGTAAACGTCTGGTCTCCTCCATTTGACGATCCAACATCATTTGGATCATCGCTTGTACTTCGGCCATTGTGATTGGCTCGGGAGCGGCTACCACAACAGGTATTTGCTCAATCACTGGGGGCTGTTGATTCTTGTTTCCATTCACGTTCCCGACTCCACTTCGGGTTCTTGCCAGTTTGATCTATACACCGAATAAGGTGAATTTATATCTTTATTTTATATAGACGTTTAAATCATCCTTATCATTCCGAAACGTTTACATGTTAGTTCTAATATCGTAGTCGTACGTTTAGAATCCTGAACACATAAGGTTTCCAGATTCGGTCGGCAACAGACCATAGATCCGAACAAATAATAGCATATAAGGCAAAAAACATTTAGTACGTAAAAGCATATTAGGCATCTTTCCTAATATAAGCTAGTGCTCGTGTCTAAAATATAGTAGACACTCATCTCACAATCATCGCTTAGCATTCTAAGTTTAAATCTAGAAATCCTACAAATTCCTATTTCGCTTAAACTGATGCTCATATACCAACTGTGACATCCCCATTTTCACGGCCAAAAAAATATCGATTTTGTTTATGCTTTATAAAAATAAGAGTACCCCTTTTAATAAAAATGTTACGGAATTTGTTCCCAGAAAAACATGATAAATATGTTATCAAAGCATTTCCGAAGAAATGTATTTTTATTCATTTTAAAACATTTGGGATGTCATCGTCCATACAGAAACATAAGCATATACAGAACTGTGACATCCCCAAAATCACGGCCAGAAAAGACCGGTTTCATTTATGCGTTTAAACAAATTTTCAGAGTAATCCCTTGATTAAAAGAGTTGCGGAATTTGTCCCCAAAACAATACATGATAAAATAAGGTTTATCAAAGCATTTCTTAAAGAAATGTATTTTCATTACATATTAAAAATCGGGATGTCATGTTCCGATACAGACACAAAAGCATAAACAATACAACATAGACCTTACATAGTTACATATAACTACGCGTCTATAATCCAAAAATATCTTGACAATGTCATCCAACTTATGCTCACGTGCCACTACCTGTAATACAATGAAAAACTGAGTGCGTCAGGCTTGGGAGCCTAGTGAGCATATAGGGTTTTCAACCCACAATAAAGAATTATATTTAATTTCACCAACCAATACTAACCCGATTACCCATTCCCGTTATCCTCACTTTATGTCCCTAAAACAACAACTATTACAAGGGACCTAATCTAGGATTTTCATCGGGACGGACATTACTGCAAAAGGGCTTCCTTAGCAATAGATGTCCTAAAGGTAAACATGAGGGGGATAGAGTACACCGGTGAACACATCGTTCACAAAACCTACAAGTTATGAGCCTGCTAGTGTTCCACTGGACTGACTAGAAAGAGTCCGTGGTCGTCATCCATACTCCGCTAGATGACTAGATCAACAACAACATCGAGGAATCTCATCATTTTATTTCATCACACACCAACTGTCTACCCATGTTCTACCCAACATATTAGTAGATAAAATATATACATTTATATACAGCTTAAAACCTGTACAAAACATCCATTCAACAACTAGTTCAAATAAACACATAATATACAAACACATAGCACGTATTTTATAAGAATACTTTATATCTATGTGTTAGAAGAAAACGAATATACACTCACCTGATCAGAAGATGATCGGGCATCACTACGGTTCTAAGAGTAGTATTTCTTCGGTGAAACCGGGAGATCTTCACAAAACCGGGCTTCTCGCGGACAGAGTTTCAGCTCGGAAACTTTACTTCTCGGTATCTTCGGGGCTTCGGGACTTGCTTCGGGTCTCGGGATGATACCGGGGCTTCGGGGGTATAAATTGCATGCAAAACGAGGCAATAAGGAGTGAAAGAGAAGAAATGAGCAACAAATCCCGGAGACCTTGCATTCTATTTATAGGGAGGCTGACCCTCCGAACGTAGCGCTTTCCCTGAACGAACGCAGCGCGTTCCGCCGTGCGTCATTGCTTACGAACTTCGGACCTGACAGGCGACGAGACAGGCTCTGGGCTCCGAACGCGGGGCGTTCCCCCTTTGGGATGCGCGCCTCGAACTTCAAAAAATCATATCTTTCGCATACGAGCTCCGTTTTCGACGTTCTTTATATTCACGCGAATGTGAGACTATGTTCTACAACTCTCGTTTAGACTCTGTTGGCTAATTTTGACTTTATTTTTATTATATTAATTTTAGTAGGCCGGGACAGGAAAACTCCGTTATAAAATCATAACTTCTTCATCTGACGTCCGTTTTCATCTGTCTTTTTACCGTTGGACTACTAACGACGAGATCTTCGATTCTCGTTTAGATTGGTTCGGCCAATTATCACTCGATCTCAATTTCGAGATTTCGGGCTGCATACCGCTAAGTCGAAACTTAGAAAAATCATAACTTCCTCATGCGAAGTCAGATTTAGACGTTCTTTTTATGCGCGCTCTCGGTTTAACGTATTCTACAGCTTCCGTTCAGATAACTAAGGCTAGATATCGCTCTATCTTAAATTTTTATTTTACGTCCTTCAGCGTCGTGCCGGTTCCGTTGTGAAACTTCGACAGGTCATAACTTCTTCGTTATAACTCGGATTTCAGCATTCTTTATATATTCGCAAACCTCGTCACAACCACTACGCCTTTATGCATCAATATCGATTTTATCTAACATTTTATTTTTACGCTTATTTTTATTCTTAATTTGATTAAGTCACAGAATTAAGCATAAAACACATAATACTCAAATAACACATTATTATCATTTCAAAATGAGTTACAAAGGTTCACCTAGACTATTACAACGACATTAATGCCTAGCCCAGAAACACGGGCGTTACAATTCTCTCCACCTTAGGATGATTCCGTCCCCGGAATCACACGTCAACAAACAAATGCGGATAGCGACTCATCATGTCACTCTCCGTCTCCCAGGTGAGATTTGGCCCATTCGTATGTTTCCATCGGACAAGCACTAATTCGACCATCTTGCGTCGCAACTTCTTAGTCTTTCGGTCAACGATTGCCTCTGGTTCTTCAATTAACCTTTTGTTCTCATCAATGCTTAACTCAGAAATTGGAATTATATCAGGAACTCCTCCCGTGAACTTCCTCAAATAACACACATGAAAAGTGTTATGAATTCCATTCAGTTCTTCCGGTAATTCGAGCTTGTAAGCTTGGTTCCCAATCCTCTGAAGAACTTTAAACGGTCCAATAAACCTTGGACTTAACTTTCCCCTTTTACCAAATCTTATAAGTCCCTTCCACGGCGAGACTTTAAGCAAAACTGAATCTCCAACTTCAAAAGTCATCGGTCTTCGCTTGTTGTCAGCATAGCTCTTTTGACGATCCTGAGCTGCTAACATTCTCTCCCTGATTATTTTCAGCTTTTCAGCAGTTTGATGGACTATCTCAGGTCCCATAAACTGCTTTTCCCTAGCCTCAAGCCAACAAGACGGCGTACGACATTTTTGTCCGTACATAGCTTGATAAGGTGCCATCTTTATGCTCGAGTGGAAACTATTATTGTAGGAGAATTCTACCAAAGGTAAATGTTCATCCCAGTTACCTTGGAATTCCAGGGTACATGCTCTCAGCATATATTCAAGTATTTGTATCGTTCTTTCGCTCTGACCATCAGTCTGTGGATGGTAAGCTGTACTCAAACACAGCTTGGTACCCAATTCCTCTTGTAGACTTTTCCAAAATCGCGAGGTGAAACGGCTGTCACGATCTGACACAATCGTTAATCGAACACCGTGAAGCCTCACAATTTCCTTCACGTAAGAATTCGCAAGCTTATCCATAGACCATTTCTCATTGGCTGCTATGAAATGCGCACTCTTAGTGAATCGATCAACGACCACCCAAATCATGTCGTGACCATTCTTCGTTCTGGGCAGTTTAGTGACAAAATACATTGTGATGTCTTCCCACTTACCCATAGGCACAGGTAAAGGTTCTAAACTCCCGTATGGTTTCTGATGTTGTGCCTTGACTCTCGCACAGGTCACACACTCCGCCACATACTTTGCAATGTCGAGGTTCATCGTCGGCCACCAGTAATAGGGTTTTAGGTCCCTATACATTTTAGTGCTGCCAAGATGAATTGAGTACATGGTTTTGTGAGCTTCTTCCATCAGAAGATCTCTTATTCCTCCTGACTTAGGTACCCAAATACGATCTTGGAATACCTTCAGTCCATGACCATTTGTACCAAACACTAACGTTTTGCCCAAACGTTCCTCCTTCCGGTCATTCTTCTCTGAAGCTTCTGCTTGAGCTTTCTTTATA